CGACGATTTAGATATTTTTAATAGTACAATACATTTTTTTATTAAAATATTCCATGTATGCATTTTTTTTTTATTTGTGGAGCAATATTATTATTTTGTTATACTATTTTTTTATCATCACTGTACTAATATGTATTAATTAGTTTATGTAAATTAGTATGTTGCGCCTCTTTTATTAAGTAGAAGTAACTACATATATCTATGTTATATTTGATTTTTTTTATGATAATTAGTTTGACAAAATTAAAGAGTTACATAAATATGTTCTATTTAATTTTTAATTATGATAATTAAATTATAATATTTCTAATTTTTGTCATATGTGATGACTATGAGTTTAGTGAAATTTTTGAATATGCGATATAAATAATAAAATTTTGATAATTTAATTACGAAAAATCGTGCTTAATGTCCAATTTTTATGTACTTGTAGAAATGGCAACCAAGAACATAATTACTGTTTGTCCACCAACGAAAAGTTGGATAGAACAAATTATGATATATGACATAGGAAGATTCAAAATATTTTTAATGAGCACAAGATTTTGAAAACCTTGACCACTACTGTACCTTAGCCAAAAAATACCAATAGAGACCGGTATAATAAGGAGTTGCCTATATACCATAAATGATCTAAGAAGGATGTGTGTTATACTATATTGTATTACATGCATAACGATCTCATTGGAGAGTTTGAGAGTTGTTCCATGACTAAAGATATGTGAGACAAACTGAAGGTTACTTATGGTCAGACATCCGCTACAACGCTCCGTGCCTTGGATTTAAAATGAATGAAATATAAAATGGATCTAAAGCATAGTATAGTCAAACACTTATATGTCATATGTGCTATGATTCGTGACCTTAAAGGTTGGAGGACAAGACATAAGAGATCAGAGTAGTTATGAATGTAATTTGTTGACTTCTAGATGAACCTGAGTGTTGGAAAATTTTAAACTCTTGATGGTTCATAGTGAACACATCAATACTTTCTCCAAAATTGCTATGCACATTGAGATGGAGATTGAGCATTAGGCGTTAAATCCTTCCAATATGGCATTTATTGCCCATGGAGGCAAACCCAAGGAAAACAAGCCTAATCATGCCAAGTAATTTAAGAAAGGTCAACGCCCATCTCAAGCCAGTAGACTTAAGGGTAATGTGACCAAACAACATAAAGTTAAAGGTCATAGAGAAAAAAATATAGCGTGTGTGAAATGCTACAACTACGGCAAGAAGGGTCACTTCACTCGTGATTGTTCATAGTCGAAGAAGGTATATTTCTCTACTTAACCTCTTGATTTATTTGTTTGTTCCCATGCATTAGTTGTTAATTCTCTTCTTAATTGAATTGTAGACACGGGAACAAGCAAATATGTAGTTTAAGATCGAGCTAGATTTGTAGACTAGCATCATGTCCCGATGAGTTTGCAAACTATTGTATTGGGCAACAACAACGAAGAAGACGTCCTTAGAATCATAACATACCAGCTCAAGCTATGTGAAGGAAATATTTTGCTCTTTTATGATACTCTTTATGCACTTATAAGGTCGAGTTGCTCTAAGCACCAGATTAAGGTTCTAGTCTGAAAGCGTCTAGGTTTAAATCCCACTTTCAACATCTGATTTTTTTTTAAGAAAAAAACAAAATAGATGACATATTCGTCGTCATGATGAGAGAGAAATAAATAGTAAAATAAAAAACTTCATTTTCCTTTACAGGAGTCGGCCACAAGCTTTGCACATATATATATATATATATATATGTATATATATACCTTTAACCTCTCTCTCTTTTTCTCTTTCTCTTCTCTCTTTTTTCTTTTCTTCTTTCACGCACACACAGTGCATCGTCTCTCTCTCTCTCTCTCTTTGGTTTTTACTCTTTTTAGATTTCTTTTTTTTTAATGCCTCTATAGGAAACTAAGGTGACTAGATCTTTTATTACTGGTGACCACAACCATTATAAATGCAAAGATCATCTCGAGGCAAGTCGAAGGAAGTCAAACGCGCCACTCAGGCGGCCAACCACGAAGTCGCACATATCGTCATGCGTCACTTTGTTCGAACAAACTTAGTCTACCGAGGTATTTAGGATTTTTAGATTTCACTAATTAGGCCATTTTAGTGTTCTACATAGAAGAAAAAAAAGAGTTACTAGTTCTAGATGATAAAAAAAACATTCTTCATGTATTGTATCTCACAATAGTATATAAATGAAATCACTTAGATTTACATATAATTAACCCAATGTTGTGCACAAATATATATGAGTAAAAAACAACATGTTTTCTGAATTCATCATCATCAAGTTAATATATAAAGAAACAATCAACGAGTTTAATTCATATTGGAGCATAATTATTATGGAGTCAGAAGCAAATACTTAGGTTATGATACCATTATAAGTAATTAGTATTGATCTTAATGTGAAAGCAATAGGACCAGATGTTCGCTTATTACTCACAAAGAATGATTCTCTCATTGTTGAAACTCTTAATTGCCTCTGTCTTTTTTCGGATGCTACTAGAGTACCGAATAATATTCACACCCTAAAACCTAAGTCTATTAATGACCTAACTTAACGTGAGAGAGAAAAAGATAATATAGTATTTTACTAGGTGCAATCTTTTTATTGATAAACATAAGTAAATTTTTTTCTTATAGGCTCACAAATAGCTATTATTTTACTAATTCACATTTCTGAAAAATAGGAAGTTGAATAGGAAGTGGAACTGCCCACAACTCCCTTTGTGGCTGTTGTGGGCGCTCCTTATATTATGCAACATCATGTTATAAATCATTCGAGAATCACGGGAACCCATCTCTACATCCATATGCAATCTCCTTTCTTCATAATTGTGCATGCCTTCCCTTTTTCTTAAGTTGTCAAGACCCTCCTTCATGTTCGTCATTTGGAAAACCAAAAGCCCTTAGGACTTTAGATTTTTGTTTAAATGAAACAACATCACTTCTATAGCCTTAACGAGACGAGCATCGTTTCACCTCTTCCTTAATGCTGAAGGTCCTAAAGGAAATGATGTCGTTTTGGATATTAGTGGTGCTAGGCTTGAACACTTTATCTCCAAATTGAATGAATTAATTATGTTCCAAATAGAATCGTTAATATGTCACAATGGTAATGTAGGGCAAAATTTTCATTAGTGATAAAACACATCACATGAATTCTTAACTAGTTATATAATTTAATTATAAATAAAATAAGAATCTTATTTTATTTTAATTAAAATTTTTGCTAGTTATATTGTTCATATATACTATTAAATCAATACTTATAAATTTTTAGTTCAAACGATCATATATATAAATGATAAAGTAGAACTAAAGTGATAATATTTATCTCAATAATTTTTAAATATAAAAATAAAAATTTAGTTGACTACAAATATATATAAGTTATAACTCTAAAATTATGCAGTATATAAATTTTTGACCACCTAATTATTTTCACACCTTATTTATCATACAGATTTTAAAAATTAAATACGATAATTTTTTAAAAATACATTTATATTTTTTTATTTAAATTTTTTAAAATTATGTGTCGTAGGAAAATCCAATTTATACTAGAAGAAAATACATAAGCACTGCTTTAAGAAAAAAAGAAATAAAAACAGAAACAGCGATCGCGGTTAGTCACAAGAAAAATAATACAGTAGATAAATGGATGGGTCCCACAAAGACAAGCAAAGAGACAACTGTAAGACATAAATCCTTCCATCCGAACGCCAAATCGTAACCGTTGAATAGATCTCGATGGTCTTCTCCATGTGATGATGACGCCAACAAATTATCTTCTTCCTCCCTTGTAGTTGTGGGTTAAGAGAGAGGTACCTCAAGAAAGCTTACGCCAAACTCTTTCTTCTTTACCAGATCTCTCTCTCTAGATACAATTCTGGTTATGTGCAACAAGTTTTCGATAGAAGAAATTGATTAGAATTCAGGTATGGAAAAAGAGAATAAGAAGCTGGATGTGGGTGTGGGTGGATTCTTTCCTGTCTCTACAACGAGGATCGAGTGGAAATCTCGGAAGAGATCAGGTAGTATTGCTTTTTATTTATTTATTTATTTGTTGCGGTTGTTGCTGTTTGGTTCAATGGAAAGTAAACAAGTGAGAAAATGGAAAGGAAAGTTTGTAACTAGGATTTATTGTTTCGTGTTGTTTGTTTGATTTGAGGAATACCCATTTCTGTGATTACTGATTGAAATTTGTTTTCTCACATGTACGCTGGTGTTCCCCTGTTATGTCCATACGGTGTAGGGAGTGAAACGGCGGAAGTGAGTGCCGTTTCTTTGCTCCTACCTTGATTCACTGAATTTGTAGTTGTTATAAAAAAGTTTTGTTATTATTATAATTCAAGATAATCATGGTATGGTTTGGCTGGCAGTGACTTTTGCTGCTCGAATTCAAATGGATAACCAATAAAGTTGATGCAAAAAGGATTATTTTGGTTTGGTGGATAACAGCTAGCTAATCGACTTGTTGTAGGAATTGGTAATTTTTTTTAAAATAAAAAACCATGAACATGTTAATTTTGAGTTTGATCAAGAAATGAGTAATTATAAGTTGGTAATTAGAAGGTGCCTCGGGATAAAGAAGTAGCTATAAGTTGATTAAAGAATATATTTGTTGATTTGGTTTGATTATGTAAATATTTTGTATATATTTTGAGGATGTTTTGTATATATGTTAGAGAATATTATGTTCATATTTTAAGAAATATTATCCGGGAAAAACTATAAGTTTTGTTTATATAAAAATTTATAACTTTGTTGGTGATAGATTCTTATTTTTTGTAGTTAAATTTTTTTTTTTCATTTTTTTTGTAGATATAGACATATTTGTCGAACTACGTTAAATTTTGTATTTTTTTTATTTTATTATTTATTTTGTGTGATTATGTGTATTGAGAATTTATTTTCTCAACAAGATATTATAAATGTGATTAATGCATTTTATCCAAGAAATTGCTATGTAAACAGCTAGCAGGGCCAATGTAGTCAAGGAAAGTGAATGTAATGCTGATACCACCCCTGATGTGCCTGTTAAACTGGAGCTTTCTGATCGACGAAAGGCTCTGTTTGAAACCTTTAGAACCTCTGGGAAATATTAGTGGTCGTGGAACTCAGCCGAATCCTTTACTACCTCCACCAGACTTCGACTCTGCTGCATACCCGAAAGGTTGGCTCATTGGAAAGAAGCGAAAGCTAGTTAATGTGGATGTGGTTGAGAGCATGCGCAGGATTGCTATTCAGGAGATGAACAGAAAGGTGAAGATACACACATCAAGGCATTAACCTAATCCTGCATTCTTGCCTAATTGTAGTTTAAATTTTCTGCAGGATCGGGAAATAGATGGTCTAAATGAGCAGTTAGAAGAGGATTCGAGGTGCTTACAACATTTACAGCTTCAGCTTCTGCAAGAACGAAGCAAAAGTGCAGATGTAGAAAGACAAAACAAAATGCTGCAAGAGCAGGTGTCTATGCTTATGAATATGTTACAAGAACCAGTGATAGTGGAGGATGAAGGCACAGATCAAGCTTAATTCTTACGTTAATATATTTGCAAGTAAGAACTAAAATTAAAGTATACGTGCATATAAATATATTATATAGCAACAAAATTAAGACAGATTAGGCATATTATTCATCTACTTCGTGTTTCAAATGTTTGTTCTCATGTAAAAACCTTATTCTATTAAACGATTCCTTGATTGGTTTTATAGTTTTCTGTCTATCTTCTAATTGCATTTAACTGTTATAATTTAATGTTTGTTCTCATGTCCATATTTATAACTGCATTTAACTGTTATAAAACTCCTTGCCGCCTCTAGCACACATAGCCGAGGGAGTATGAAATGCTGAGAGATATAATATTTACATAACAAAATAGTAACAGAGCAGCACTGATGCTGAACTTTAAGTAAAATAATCCCTTATTGTCAGGATTCTTCATCAATATAAATTTCTGAATCCCCAAGTTGTATAAAAGCTGTGCAAACAGCCTGCTCATGTGTGACTACTCTATCCTTTTGATGCTACTGCTTTTCTAGCTTGGTTGTTCTGAGACGCCGTACAAAAACTGCGGGAGTGATGCTATCCTCGGAAGATTAAGAAGAAGCTCTCCAACTGAGTCCTTCCTCAAAATTGCTGCCGACTGCTTCTGGCTGAAAGCCATACTGGAGTTACCATCATCTTCTGGGAAATTCTTTGAGAGGGAGAGAGTGTTGGTTTCAACCAATTTTGAGTTGCTATCATCATCGCCTTGCAACCCATTTTCGATGGCCGAATCCTTGTGGAGAAGGCAGCAAAGGGAATTCACTCTTGACATAAGCCGCTCATCCGAGGCTGATGTAAGTTGGGAGTCACTAAACAAGTACTGAGCAACCTCACCAATAAGGTCTTTGGGTTTTACGTTCTTACCGGATAATGCATTAGGATTAGCCAAGGCCATTTGCTCGGAAATGCATTGTCCAATATGGCTCATTAGATCATTCATTGAAACTGATGGAGGAAGTCCAGGAACTTTAATCCCATTCCAATCTGGTTCCTTGAGACCACTGCTCCTGATTTCTTCAATTGCACTAGTATCCATTACTGAAATATCAAAGTTGACGAGCAATGATGGAGCTCATTAGCATTAGCTCAAAAAGACAGCAATAACCATTCTATCCCACAGTGGTCAGAGAAATATTTCTTCATCAACCACATTACAAGAAAGTCCGTCAAGAAAAACAACTGGTTTTTCATACAATTTCTACTAATAAACTAATGAAGAGGAAAGAGCCAATACATATATTGCCAATAACTGGTGACACATATTTACCTGAACTAGGTGAAGGGGTCGCTTGGCGAAATATTTCACAAGCTCTACCACCAAAAGCACTTTCAGCTTTTGGGGAAGATGACTGAGGTACTGATAGCGATAAGGATAGAACATCCTGCAATTCAAAGACGGTAGCTCGATCTTCACTCTCTAAATTAGCCTCCTGGCAGGATTCATGTGAGCCATCCAGTGCTAAAATTCCAGGTTCAAAATATGGGGACTTCAACAAAATTTCTGGTTGTTGACTCAGGAAATTGAGACGAGGATCACATTGAATGAGCTTTTCGAAATGCTTGCCTAACAAGCCCGGTGAACACTGTAGAAAATGTTGCCTAAAACAATAACAACATGATGAGTAAGAAAGGAAATTGTGCAAGTGAATTAAATTTATTTATCTCAGTACCTGTTTATGCTGGCTTGTCCGCCAGTAAAATCAGATGTTGCTTGCCACAGGGTATGCTTCCTTGGTTGTGGATTTGTCTCCCTAAAGAAAAGGGGTTGCCTGGCCAACTGCACCAAACAACATATGAATTTCAATCAACAAACACACATTAAACTTTCCAAAGCAAAACAAGAAGTCTATAGATACACACCGTTATATTCAATGTCCCTGGTTCATCGTCTGGGTAGTTTGCGTTGAGACCCACAATATCTGACCATTGAATTTCAATCTTGTTCTTTAGACTACCATCCAGCATTTCCCAGACAATCTTATGCTTTGCAAAGTAACATTTCGCCACCAAATCTCCCTCATATCTCGATTTATACTAATTAATCCAAAATACTCGGTTTTAGAACAACTCATAACATACATCACTGACCATTCAACGAAATGTTAGTTTATATATAGATATCATATATGTATGTATACCTCCCAGGTACCAATCTTCAGGGCTTTAGCTGGGAAATTAGAAGCCTTCAGTTTATCTGTCCCTCCTGAAACATCCTTCTTCTTTCCTCCATTGGTTAATTTAGTAGCATCTTTTTGAGAGAGTTTCATCTGGATCAAATCCAAAAACGATGGGGTTTTCTTCAAACGCAATCCCAGGGGACTAGGCTCATCAAGCGGGTTGTACAGCGAAGGCGGAATGACGAATTCCCCTCTTTCTACATTCAGTTGCTGCCGAACAGGAAAATTGAAATTTAAAATTTAAAATTTTCGGCAGAAATCATTCAGGAAACAAAATATATTTCACATGGATTTTCCATTTCTTCTCTTATTCCAAACAAACATATCAACCACGGAATTTTTTTTTTTTTTAAAAAAGCTTATCAAACGAAAAGAATATTGCAAACATTATTGATTTCTTAAACTCGTTTGAGCATATATCCAATGTGAGAACACGAAAGAAAATGAAAATGGAAGTTATACACTCGGATCTTTAAAACTAGACATCAAATAGGTAGATGGTAAGAGCTACCTGGATAGGTGAGTGGAGCTTGGATCGCTTGGGAAGTGGACCGAGTTGATCCTCAAGGAAATCCTGACCCTCTAGCTTTACTTTTTGAGTAGAAACCATTAACTGAACCATTGATAAGGTTTCCAGTAAACTCGGTGAGTTCACACAAAAGAAAACGATCCGCGATCTTCCTTTTACCCTGTAATGAGAACAAGCCTTTTCTCAGCTGTTTCTAGAGAACTAGAAAAACAGAGCATCTTAATTATGCTCTTCTCTCGGTGCGAACACGTGCCTGAAAGAATCCAATTTACGAATATACCCTTAGAAAGCTGAAGCTTCAGGACGGGTTCCGTTAGGGGTATATTCGTCTTTTCGATACTGTAAATGGATGAAGGAAAATGACGTGGCCTATTTTGGCGTTGGGTGCAGGGTATTTGGATAATGTGCGGGGCCCAGTTTCTTGAAGGTTCGATGTGAGTGACTGGTGGTTGGACTTGTCTTTATGGGAATGGCTGTGATTGGTTGGGAGTGACACGTGGCAGAATCTAGTTATATGCGTGAGCACGTAGGATTCCTATGTATTGATATGGATAATGTTTGATAAAAATAGATTCGCCATTTTTAGTTTTAATTAGAGTCGGCAACTGTTGACCGACGTTTTGATTTTATTTTGTTTGTTTCCGGCCTCATGAAAATTTAAGTTCATTGGCTGACGTGGACTTCATGGCTATTATTCTTTTCTATTTTTATTTTTTGAATTTTCTAAGTGAGAAAAGGAAAATTCCAATTGAACGTTTGTTATATTTTTTTATTAGGTATATTTTTTCTTAATTTTTATTTTTCTCCAATTTTGATGGTTGGTTCTTTTGTTATTTTCATTTCTCTCTTTCTTTTTTTTTTTTAAAAAAAAAACTTAACATAATAATAATAATAATAATATGAAAATTTAAAATAAAAATATAACATTAGTCTAAACAACACATCTAAACCAAATCAACTTTCACTTATCTTAGTGCCCTTGTCACAAGCCATGTTATTAAGCCTGACAATGACAATTTTTTTTTTCATATTCATATATAAAGAAATAGAGTTTATCTCATTTTTATATTAAGTTTATCTTATTTTTATTATACGAGACTAATTTTAAATTATAGTATATTCAAATAAAAATATATAATAATTTACCTTTGTATTTTAAGAAAATGCCTTTATGCATTAAATAAAAAAAAAATATAAATCACAGTTAATATACCTCACAAATATTACTTGTTTTTCGTGCATTCAACATTTAAACATATTATTACTAATATTATTAATTGCTTAATAAGTTATTTAAACAACTTAACAAAGTAAGAATTATATATTCACTATGTTGTGTTTCAAATTTTCTGAGCATTCTATTTTAGATATATACACACTAATTCAAAGAGTTTATAAAAATATAATAACTAATATATCCCTTATGGTCAATGAAAAACTCACCTACAAACATGCATATATTGCATCACCAAGAGGTGGGTAAATCCTCTATTAACACACCTTGCCCTCTCTCCTCTTACCCACCACACAACAAAAGCTGTTCAACATGAATATACTTTCTGTTAAAGCCAAACAGAGGCGATGTAGGAGAGCCAGAGGGTGCACTAAAAAAAGCTTCATGATTTAATAAACAATTCAAATGCAGCGGGGATGATAAGGGGGCTTATTCACCTCCTTCTTGATGTTAGTATTATGTCATATAAAATTAATGAGAAGGTATAAAATACAGTAAGAGTTTCAAACTAATGTTAAAAAGTTGAGTTACATCTGAATTTTTATGTGCATACTTGTAAAGAAAAGATATAAATAGATATGCAAATTTTAACCCAATAAAAATAGGAAAACATATAATATTTTTAAATTGAACTATTGCATAAAAATAGTCTTCATATTTTTTCTTTTTCTTCAGCTGCCTCTGTTTTTCATATACGAAAACATTAACAGATAATAGAAAAAAGAATTAAAATTATTTTCAAGTTTATACAATTTTTATTCTATAAAGAACTAATGGATTATTAAAAGTCTTATCTCAAGTGTCTCAAAAGATACAATAAATTATGAGATTGAGCGAAAATTTGATATTTTTTAGGTAAATTAACAAAAACGTTCTATATAAACAACACTTTATTTTCTCACATGGACATGTAACTCTTAAAATTAAAGATGATTAAATCAAGCGGCATTGAAATATATAATCCAATTTCCAAGAACTAGGATTAAGAGAGGAGGTAATCGCGGGAATAAAGAAAACAAGTTTCTAGGTTTCAAACAAGATTGGATATGTGAGTTACCAGTTGTTTTGGATACAATGAGGTTTTAGTTGAGTTTTGAATCTATTTATTATTATTAAACTCTAGTTTATAGTTACTCATTATTCACGTTAAATATCTTGTTTAAAATTTAAATTAATAATATTTAAATTTTATTAGAAATAATTAATCAAATTATTTATATTATTAAAATTTACGTAAGAATTAGTTGTAGTTAATTTGTTTTCAGTATCAAATGTGGTTTATATAAGAAAAAATACGAATGAAATTAAAAATCCTTGTTCTTCTCTATTTTCTTCTCTTTAAAATTTGCTTTATTTAGTCTTTTTTTTTTTTTTTTCTATTTCTGTTGCAATTCCTTCTTCTTCCTTAATTTTCTCCTAATCAGGATTAGGAACTTGAAAGGAACATGAGAGTGGTTGATTCTCGACCATTCTTATTATTACTTGCCACATCTACCCTGACATATACAATATATATATACATATATATATATATATATATCCAGATTTCATTAAAAATCCTAGTATATATTCCCTATAAAAATTATTACGTATAGTAAAAAGTATAAATATGAATATATAAATTTTATTATTTCAGACTTACATTGAAATTTCAAAACTTCCATCAAAATATGAAATTTTAAGTTTATGAAAAAGAATCCAAAAACACTAGAGGTTTTTGGCTGCTAAAAGCTATGACTAATCGTGATCAATTAAGAACATATCTTCGCAATTCATATGGGGCAGATCTTATATTACATTAAATTATATAAACATATATAATATATATAAGCCTGAATTAAGTCACGTCCTTAAATAATATTATTACTTATCATACAATTAGTTAATTAAATGTATGTATTTTTCTACTAATTTAATTAATTTGATAATATATACATTATATATTATATATACATTCAAATAATATATAATTTTCTTAAGATAAATATGTAAGTAATAAAAATATTACAAGGTTGAACACAACTAAAATAATACTTTGACAAGGAAACTTATTCTCGAGGTAGTAGTTATAACTCAGTCTCAATGACAAATTTGTTTGGATGGCCCAAACCAATATCAGATAACAGAAGATATCATATAATATAACAGAAGATAACCAATATAGTTTTATTCAAGAAAAATTTAGCTAATTTCAACTTATTTTATTCATAGTTATTAGAAATTTCAAATTTTATATTTTAACAAATTTAATAAAGGATCTAATTGCTTGAATATAGTGGTAGACAGATACACAATTGTTTTTTCAAAAAACAATTTTGTCTTTCTAGTAAAAAAAAATATACTTATCAATTAAATTAAATTTTTAATCAATAAATAATAGTTTAACAAGTATCCGATGACAAATTACATTATCTTCATAATTAAAAAAATAAAAATTATTCTACGCAAGAAAACACAAAAGGAGTAAACTCATGGATTTTGAAAAAATGCATTATGTACGTAAGAAGGCAGTGTTTTCAAGAAACTATCATAATCTTTATTTTTCTAAACCTTTTACAACAATAAAACAATTAGCAAGGAAAAAACTTCTGTATGCTTTTCAGAAACTACCAACGCGTTTGCAATCATACCTAAATTTTAAGAGCTTCTGCATGCTTTTACCCTTTAACCAACTTATAACAAAGTCAGTCATCCCAAAATTTGACTCTATATCTAAATATCTGACCAGAGAATCAGGTTAAGTGTCAAAAACAAATAAACCAACAACTAAAACATCAGTTGGCCTTGCGGGTTACCCTTAACAAGGACGCCAATGCAATGCATCAGTTTTATTCGTCACTCAGGTCACTTCAATATGCACGCACGTATAGAGAACAGTAAGGTTCAATTATCCATGATTAAGACAACGAAACCAAGACAATTTTGTGCATTTTGATCCCGACTATGACATGTCACTAGCGACAACGAAGCCAATACAATTGTGTGCATTTTGATCCCGACTATGACATGTCACTAGCTGCATGTATAATGAACACAAGTATCATGAACAGTATGGAAACTGCATTGCAAGATGGTAAATGAATCTACCGGCAGAAAATAATTCCTCAGACTTAATAAGAATGCATGAATTATTTTGATGCTCAGTTGAAGCTAAGTACAGAGGTTAGAGACTGACTGTCAAAACCATGCAGAACCAGTAACTTCTAAGCCCCCACATTTGATGTAAAAAGAAGGATATCTAAGGATAGAGGCCTACTTCAAACACAAAGTTCACTCCACAGCCACTCAAGACAATACATCGTCAAATGACAACAATAAAAGAACATTTTCTGCCCCTGATTTTCTACCCACCTTTTGTAAATATTTTCCACAAATAAAAGAATCATACAATGAATATACAGATGACGATTCCGAATTAGCTTTGGCTTAACAAACCTGCAGGAAGACGAAAGAGATGGTTCAGATGCATAGTTCTATCTGTAAATGCTTTCAGGGCATATAATAGTTAACTTCTTGAAAGTTGTCCTCACTCCTAGATTGTTACTTTTTAACCATAACAGTCAACCATCACACAATAGTTGTATTCCATAGCCACGTTTTCCACTATTATGGAGATTACATCAATGAACATGGATACTACAAGGGGAGATAACCACCCCTTGTTATGGCCGTGCATTCATGAGAATATACCAACAGAAACTAAGAGACTCAACTGAGACTAGATTTCATTTGGAAGCGAGGCCATGTAATTTATCAATCGTCTTTCTGATGCAAAACACAAGGCAGGCTATTATTACCATTGAGAGCAGCATGATAAATTCTCTTCTCAGCAAGTCCAATATCTGACATTGTCAAATTACCCTGCAGGCATAAGAACAAAAAAAAAAAAAAAGTTCTAGTCGACATGAATGCCAGTTCAGATTCTAATGATTTGCCTATAACTCAAATAGAAGTTCAACTTCCACATAAAATTACCATGTCAGGGAAAAAGTTATGCCAGATAGCAATAAAGATCTTAATCTTTTATTCATTGGTTCATTTTAAAAAGAACCTCTGTTTGGTTTAGGAAGTTCAGTAATTCAACAATCAGAAAAGAGCTATTTGATATTTTGTCAAGGGAAACGTAATCATCAAAAGATCCTAATTGAGAAGTAGTCACATGAAACTAAATTGTCACAAGGACATGAAAACCCCAAATATAAAGGTGATGAAAGTAGTAACAAGGACAAATTACTGTTTAGGTGCCGGAGGACATCTTACAATTAGACTCCAAAAGTTTTTCTCATAACAGTTTGAAACTTACCAAAAGTTTTTCTCATAACAGTTTGGAACTTACAAATTGTTTAAATTTGTTATATTTTTTATAACACTGCAAAAGGTTCAACAGAAATGACAAATTCTTGTTGTAAATAAGAAGTAGCTTTAATAAAATTAATAAGAAAATTAATTTACTTATGTTAAAGTATGCAGATCATAATAATAGAAATTAGAAAATAATAAGTGTAACTATTTTTCTAGACAAGAAAATATTATGAGGTAGAGAGAGGAATCCAGAAAACAGAGAACTAGATATGATCCCAAAAGAAAAGAAAAAAGAAAAATAAGAGAAAGACTAGTAAAACCTAGTAAATGCTAGCTGGCCAATCTCTATGCAAGATATGCAAAGAATAGTCCTTAAAGTACTCGTATGCAGCTTAGCTTGAAGAGATGCCAAAACCTATTACTTACCCCAAAGTCGTAGAAACAGAGAATTTGATCCTAATAAAGTCTTAGCATTACTCGCCAACCAAATTGCCCACAACCCAGCCTTGCAATTACCATATTTTTTTTTAAAAAAATTTATTGGCATAATACACATTAGCATACGCATTATGCCCTTTAAGACATTTTTTATGTCATCTGAAGAAGATAGAAAGAACTGTTGTTTCTGTAAAAGATTGGAAATCACGTTTAAACAATTTTGCAACTTAATAGATCACAATTTAACCAAAAAAATATTTCAAGATACAATTGCAATATACATCATTATTAGAGGAATAAATCAGTAATTTGCCCTAGTAATAACATGAAGCTAAATGGTCACAGGGGCATGGAACCCCTGAAAATAAAGATGACAAAATCAAGAGGTACATGATGATGATCCACCTTCATTGTTAAATCACACTAAAATGTCTTACACAAGCTTATATGATGGATGAAACATACAGCCTCGCAACCAACACATAGAACTTCAAGAAACTATTACACAGAAACTATCCCTACTTGTGAAATTTCATATGATATGAAAAGTTCGGTACGAACTGACAATTAACAGCAGAAAGGAGGTAAACAGGCCCCTAATTGATTTAATGGCTTTGCCATAAACAGGGCAGCCCTACAAAAGGAAACAATCAGCTTGTCCCAATTGCCACTCTTGATGCTGGTAGAGGTTTTAGATAGTTTCAACATTAGGGATATTTATCAGCGTATACCGTGTGAATAAGGCACCTGACTTGCCTGCTCAAAAGGCTGGACCTACTGGATCTTTAGCGAAACTAAAAGGTCAATTCATGGTGGAAATGCCTTGAGGCAGCAAGGCCAAAGGCAGGTCCCTAAAGAAGAGTCCAAGATTTCAACCCACAAATTGGATGTAGTAGGCCCTTCCCAGCATTGATTTCTAAAGGCATTGATTCACTCATAAAGATAGGTTGAATATTAGGGATATTCCCTAGTGTCTATTAGGTGATTAAGGTCCCTAACTTGCCTGCTTAAAAGGCTGGATCCACTGGATCTTTGGTGAAGCTAAAAGGTAAACCCATGGCTGAAATGCCCTTGAGGAATAGGCAGCAAATGCAAAGGCAGATCCCTAAGGAAGAGTCCAATACTCCAAGTCCTAAAATGGCCTGTACTAGGCCCTTCCTACTGTTCATTTCTCAAGGCACTGATTCACTCATGAAACTGACCATCCCCACTATCCTTTCTTATCTAGCATAGGAAACAAACCAACTAAATATCCAATCATTAAGCATTAGCAGCATCAACTTCTACACAAACTCATATTTTCCATCATAAAGCATAAAAAGATCCATATCCATAGAACCTATTTAAGCCTCATAAATATGTAAAGGAAAAGAGCCAACCTAACAATCAATCTATTTGAGCATCGTAATTTAACAATTTATATACCGAAAATTAATTTATCATACCTCGGTAGCCATCAATCTTCGGACATTACTGGCATAGAGCTTTGGGTCATCCTTCTCTTGTTGTGATGGATAGTAAACAGGTAAGCGTATAACCTCCATGTGATTTACAAACTGACACAGGAG